ACCACAAGAAACCGTCCACAGAACAACGAAACCAAGGGCTCCGAACTTCGCGCTTCGCGCTGCGCGAAGCGCGAAGTGCGAACAACTTCGCGCTTTCGCGCCGCCTCCCAGGGGAGAAGAGGAGGATGAAGAGGAATCGGAGCCGAAGCGCGAAGCGCGAAGCGCGAATAACTTCGCGCCCTCGAGGGCGCCCTTGCAAACCCTGTGACCCCGGAGAAAAACCAAACCACAAGAAACCGTCCACAGGACGTCCATAGATGTTTGGTGTAGGAACGCCACGCCTCCCACAGCAGAACCATCGAAACCCGAGGAACCCAGGGCACCCTGGAGGCAAGCAGGGCGTTTCTTGGCATGGGTTTCCACTGTATGAAAAGCCCTGACCCTCAAGCGGCCCCCACTCTAGAATCCTCATCGTCCCTTCTTCAGAACTGATTCGCTCACTTGCCCCCGCCTAACGCCTAGGACACAGGCGGGGGTCCCGACTACAACGTGCCATCCATAATGTCTGCTCCGTGAGACCATCATGAGGGATCCCACTCCGTCAAACCACGTCCTGTCAGCCTCACACGTGTGGGGCCATGTCGTGCGGGGCCCCACCATCCGGGGCCCTCTCGTGTGTAATCATCTCGTGTGTGGGACACTGGTGTTCGGAACCCTGTCGCACATATGGGACTCCGGCGCCTTTGACCGTACATTTTTCCGCCGCACATTTTGTGAGGAGAAGGAGGAAATGTGAGGGGACGAAGCGAACAGGCTACCAGTGACTCCAGCAAGCGACGCAACGAAGCAAATCTTAGGCTGCGCCCTAGGGCGGGGGGGGAAAGACAAAAGCAAAAAAAAACAAAACAAACAAACAAAATCCCGAACGTGAAGGCCAGCCGAGGGAGGGTAAGGCGGACGAGGAGGACGACGACGACGAGGAGAAGAGGCAAGAGGGGGGACTGAGCAGCATGGTTGTCAAAATCGGCTGCCGCTCGCACCACCTGCTGAACAAACATCTCCACATAAGCTACACAGCACAGGAGGAGAGAGCAGCAAGAGATGGAAGAGAAGGAGAAGGAGGAAACACAGGAGACATAACGACGGCGGAGCACCGTGAAGAATAGTGCAACTCCCCGTTAGACTGCAGCAGGGGTCTAAACTTAAATCGGCAAGCCTATCGAGTTCCGATCGGAAGTCAACAAAGTGAGGGGCCCCGAGCCGCAATAAGCGAGAACTAGCGCCCAGACGGTGCGCGATTGGGATGGTACCCTGGAAAAGGAGCGGCCCCCGAACATGCAGAAATCCGTATGGAGCGTGATCACCCACCACACGAGGGAAACTCCGCAGTGGACGGGATCATTCCTCACACACTGCTTGCCCTTGGAGGGTCTTCCGGTCGGTGCCCTAAGCCTTGGCGGCCTGACGTCTTCGAACCATGGCTGTCTTGTCAGGAAATGGCCCGTTGGGCCGCCCTCGGCCGTTGCCTCTCGGCGCCCTGTGGTCGGTACCCCGTGTGGGTACCAGGCCGGAGCGTTCCCCGGTCCGCGCCTCTGGTCGGTGCCCTGTGGTCGGTCCCCTGTGGTGGCCTCGGACTGGCGCCACCCGACCACAATGAATGGTGCCCTATGATGTGCAAGCAGCTTGCACATCGGCAGCGCAAGAACCTGCCGTGGGTCCACGCGCTGGCACCCTCTAGCCACGCACAGCTGACCACGAGCAGCACAAAGCTTCGGGGGCCACGGGAAGCCAATCCTTTGGAAGCACGACAGACTGACCACTTTTAACACAAACCTCCATGGACCCTATCATCCGACCACACCCTGTCAGCTCATCCCACTCTCGGGGCCCAACCACCAGGCCCCAAACCGCGGAAACAACCAGGCGGCCCCACACCGTGCCGCCAGGCTCTGAGTGAATCGTGCTCAAGCAGTTCATTACGCCGTTGCCCTCAACGGTGAATATCGCAGACACTCTTTGGGGGGCCCCGGACCCCGCCTCCGGGGGCGCCGCCACGCGCTCTCGAGGCTCGTCGCGTGCTTTCTCGGGAGGCTTCCGGGGCACGGTTCTCGGGCGGGTGGTAGTGGGGGGCGACCCAAATAGGGGGGGGGGGGAGAGAAACAGGGCCCCTTTGGGAGCCAGTGAGTGCCCGAAAGGGGCCCTGAAGGCCCTCACGAGGCCCCAGTACCACCCGCCCGGGGCTCGGGGTCCAAACTCTTCAGCACTCCGTGCGCTTGCCCCAGGGGGGGCCCGTCGAGGCGCACGCAGTCCTGGGGGGGCCCCCGGGCAGGGGCCATCAGGCCGAGGATCAAAAGCAGACGCAGCTGCGTCGGAACGAGGAGCGTCACGAGGCGGCCCCGAGAGGCTGCCGCTGGCCCCATGAGGCCGACCCAGTGGCATCGAGGGGACCCGGGCGGCCCGCCGCGCCTCCAGGCGGCACGGGGCTCCCGGGAGACCGACGAGCTCCTCCTCCTCCTCCTTCTCCTACTCCTCCTCCTCCTCCTCCTCCTCCTCCTCCTCCTCCTCCTCCTCCTCCCTCCTACTCCTCCTCTCCCCCTCCTCCTCCTCCTCCTCCTCCTCCTCCTCCTCCTCCTCCTCCTTCCCTGCTCCGCCTCCGCCTCGCCTCCTTCTCCTCCTCCCCTCCTCCTCCTCCCCTCCTCCTCCTCCTCCTCATCATCATCATCATCCATCAATCATCATCATCATCATCATCATCATCATCATCATCATCATCATCATCATCAGCATCATCATCATCATCATCATCATCATCAGCATCATCATCATCATTCATCATCATCATCATCATCATCATCATCATCATCATCATCATCATCATCATCATCATCATCATCATCATCACATCATCATCCATCATCATCATCATCATCATCACATCATCATCATCATCATCATCATCATCCTCATCCTCATCCTCATCCTCATCCTCATCCTCATCACATCATCATCATCATCATCATCATCATCATCCTCAGCATCAGGCATCAGCAGCATCAGCATCAGCATCAGCATCATCAGCATCATCATCATCATCATCATCATCATAATCATCATCATCATCATCATCATCATCATCATCATCATCATCATCATCATCATCATCATCATCATCATTCCTCCTCCTCATCATCCACCTCCTCCTCCTCCTCCTCCTCCTCCTCCTCATCCCCCTCCTCCTCCGCCTCCTCCTCCTCCTCCTTCTCCTCCTCCGCCTCCTCCTCCTCCTCCTCCTTCTCCTCCTCCTCTCCCGGCAGCGGCTATATATTTTGGCATAACTGCTGGACCCCATGCATCCCCCCGGAGAACCATAGTTCAGCTGAGCTTCAGGCCCATCAGTGGCCGTGAGCGCCTTGGTTCTCCACCATGGCAGGGGACGGCGGTCACTCGCAGAGGGCGCCTCCGATGATCTGATCAGATCGCAAGAAAAGAAGACCACGGGGGACCCCGCTCTCATCTGAGGTCGACTCGCAGATACAGAACCCCTCAAAGGATCGCAGCGACGGGTACTGAGGAAGGCAAACCGTTGCATCCGAAGCCAATTGATGCGGACGAGTGGATCCAAGACGAGGTAACCCTCACGAGCTCGTCCGAACAAATTCTGTCGGGCGAGTTCATCCGAAGACGACTTCACCCGAAGACGAGTTCATCCAGAGGCGATATCATGCGCAGACAAAGTCATCCCGAAGAGTTCATCCGGACAACTTCATCCTGACAAGCTCTTCCAGATGAAATCGTCGCGGAAGAAATCGCTCTGGATAAACTGGTCGTCCTCCGAGCACCGCTCAAATCACCAGCACCTAGGACCAGCTGCCATCGGATCGCGAATAACCGAGCACCGAGGATCGCCAAAAATTCGTGGCACCCAGGTCTAACCCATGTAAAGTGGCTCAAGGAGGCACAAGTAAATCGGCACAAATTCCAGGATTCCCTCTATTTGGCCATAGTTCCTGGATGTTCCTCGCCCCCTCCATTTCTCTTAATTTTTCCTGGATCAACATTTGTTTGTGGTTGCGCCTACTGTTCCCTCCTGACCGCTGCAGAACAAGAAAGGCTCTTGTGTACAAGAGCACAATCATGAGAACCGAATGCGCCTATCCCTTCCTTCGCCCCCTCTTGAAATCCTGCTCAGAAGGACTACACACACGGCAAGGGCATTGGATAAAGAACCGTTCGAGAAGGAATCCAGGGTCTGAAGCTGGTGGAACTCATGGGGGAGTGACCCTGCATATCACCGCCGCCCTGATCAAGGAAGGAATCCCCCCACGGTCACGTTCCTTAACTATCGCTCCCACCGTATGGTGTTGTCCCGTGCCTAGTCGGGATGAATAGAGGAACAAAAAACCGCGTAAACACTAACTTTGGAAGGTCCGCGCCAGAGCCTCCTCCCCAACGCGCGGAGCGCGCCAGGGCCGGCGCCGGAGGCACCGCCAGGACGCTCAAGTGCAGATCCAAGAAATCCGCGGGGAGCGCCAAAAGTTTATTCCCTACCTAGGCTCTGCCTAGAGGGTTCTTACTTTGTTTGCTGAAAGGGGCCGGGCAGTGTAAAACGCCCCGGGCGGTTCCCCCAGTCCCCGCCCCGCGGTTCCCCCAGTTGCGCCCCCTGGGTTCCCCTAGCTTAGCTTAGCTTACCTTAGCTTAGCTTAGCTTAGCATAGCTGAGCGTAGCCTAGCCTAGCTGATCTTAGCTTAGCTTAGCGTATCTCATGTTGGCTTAGTTTATCTTAGCTTAGCTTAGCTTAGCTTAGCTGAGCTAAGCTTAGCTTAGCTTAGCTTAGCTTATATCATCTTACCTTAGCTTAGCTTAGCTTATCTCATCGTAGCCTAGCTTAGCTTAGCTTAGCTTAGCTTAGCAAAGCTTAGTTTACCTTAGCTTAGCTTAGCGCAGCGCAGCATAGCGCAGCGCAGTATTAGCATAGCATAGCATAGCATAGCCAAGCATAGCATAGCACAGCATAGCTCAGCATAGCATAGCATAGCATAGCATAGCATAGCGCAGTATAGCATAGCATAGCATAGATGCAGGTGTAGATGTAAATGTAGCTGTCGGTGTAGATGTAGATGTTGCTTTCCTGAATGCTCCAACTCCTAGGTAGGGTCGCACTGGGATAATGTTTACAGTAGGGGCTCGACCCATGGAAACCTTCCACAAGAAACCCAACATTGAGACCCCAGGACGATCATAGATGTCTGGTGTGGGAGCGCCACGCTGTCCATCGCAAAACCATCGAAGCCCAAGAGACCCAGGGCACACTGGAGGCAAGCAGGGTCTCTTTGCATGGGGCATGGGCCCCTACTGTATGCCGTTGTTTTGGAGGCCTGGAAATGGGCACCAACACCCTCACAGGGGGTTCACTCCACAGGGGGAAGATGATCCTCGATTTCGGTGTTGGTGGTAATATTTCGACCACCTTGGAAGCCAGAACATTACCACCATCGCCGAGATCGGGACCTTCTTCCCTCGGTGGAGGCACACCGCCGATATTGGTGTTGGTGTCAACCTCTAGGCCTGCGATTAAAACGCCATAAACATCAACTCTTGGCGCTCCACGCGGACCCTTCTTGGGCCTGCGCTGACCCCCCTCCCTGGCGCGCGGAGCGCGCCAGGGGCGGCGCCGGAGGCGCCGCCTAGGGACCCGCGCGGATCCAAAAGAAGTCCGCGAGGGGCGCCAAAAAAACATGCTCGTGGCCTTCTGCTCTCCTCCGAGCGTCGCCGTCGTCCTCGAGCCTGCGCCTTTCTTCTTCGCCCCTCGAGCGCAGGAGAACGCCCTCGGCCCCCGCTCCTGCTGCTGCCCGTCGCGCTTCACCACGTACATCTGCGGCGGGGCCGCCATGGGGGCACGACGCTCGGCCCGGGGGGAGGACGCCCGCGGCGGCGCCCGCCGGCGCCGACGCCCAGCGCGCGGATCTTGCTGCAACGGGGACGCCATCCTCCCCAGAGATCCAAAGTATTGAAAAAACTCAAGACGGAAGTTTTTCGCAGATTTCGGCACCCAGGGGCCCTCGCCGGGCCTCGGGACCGTCAAAAAACCACTCGGGATGAAAAACCGGTCCCAGGGAATGGGTCGAGACTTCGGGGGACCCCGCATTGAAAAAATCACGACATCGGGTCTCTGGGTCGGGCGTTGGTGGTTTAGGGATGTGCCCTGAGGGACGCCCCCCCCCCCCGCTCCGTTCCACGAGCCGGGACTGCCGTCACCCGGAAAAGCACCAATCACGGCAGACCTGGTTTGAGGACTCTGGCCCAGTTGGGGGCTCCGGGGCCCCACCACTGGCCGGGTCCCCCTACCTCGGGCCCTGGCTATAACCGACATCTCTGGAGCACCGGTTGAGGAAAACGCCACAGGATAGAAGGTGAAAAAACGCCAAAGCATAAGCTTTTGGCGCTCCGCGCAGATTTCCCGGATCCGCGCTGGGCCCCCCTCCCTGGCGCGCGGAACGCGCCAGGGGCGGCGCCGGAGGCGCCGGAGGGGGGGTCCCGCGCGGATCCAAGAAACCCGCGCGGAGCGCCAAGAGTTTATGTTTCTGCTGTGTTTTTTACTTTGGCAGGAGCGGAACAGTTGTGCAGGCTCCTGCCTCCCTCCCCACTCCTGCTCTGACGGCCTTCCCCGCTCCGGAGGAGGGAGGAGGGAGGAGGGAGAAGGGAGGAGGGAGGAGGGAGGAGGGAGGAGGGAGGAGGGAGGAGGGAGGAGGGGGGAGGGAGGAGGAGGAGGAGGAGGAGGAGGAGGAGGTGGAGGAGGAGGGGAGGGGGGAAATGATGGAGGGGAGGGACCCCAAGCTCCCCTTCGATCTGCGTGTCGCCGTACAGGTGAACCCGGCGCGACCACGTTGAAGGAAACGCCTCATCAGCGGAACTGCTTCGCATTGCCTGGCATTATCTAGAATTGCGAGGCATTGCTTAGCTTTACTCAACATTGCATAGCTTTGCCTGGGATTGCATTGCATACTGCGCATTGTTTTGCACCGTTTTTTTCACTAGTTCACATTGCTTTGCATTGCTCGGTGTCAATTGGCATGCTTGGTTGAGCCTAGCATTGTTTGACATTGTTTGGCGGTGTTTGGCACTGCTTACGGTTGTTCGTTTTGTTCTGATTTGCTTGGCGTTCATTGAGGTTGCGTGGCATTGCTTGGCATGGTTTGCCATTGCTTGGCATTGCTTGGCATGGCTTGGCAGTGGTAGCAAGCAAGAGAAAGAACCCAAGGAATGAACTAAGGAAACAAGGCCTGACAACTCGAGGAAAGCCTCTCCAAAAATAGTAATTCAAAAAACAGGGAACGAACAAGACCAAACAACCCGAAGAAGGCCGTCTAGCTTGGGGGAAAGATCACGGCGGGGCAACATGCTTCAAATGCTCGGAGCGTTTCGCGGCCCAGAGACATCCAAGCAGGTCAACATGGGGTAAACATGAAAAGCTTGACCCCAGAAAAGTGTAGCTGTGGAGGGGGGTGGGGCCAGAACTCCAAAAGTTGGCCATGACAACCCTGTGGTAACAAGATGGGCATGTGCGCAGATCTCGGACGTCGTCCTCCTCTTCCTTCCTCCTCCATTTTCCCCCCGCCGTTTCCTGCCCAACCCCCCCCGCAACGAGACAAAACACGACGGAGGTTGTTGGGCAACTTTCGGCGCGGGTGTGTCTTTTTTAACCCGTTGGGAAAAAACAATGGAGGCGTGAAAAGTTCCAACACGTGATGGGGCGCCAAAAAATCCAGGTGCCCATGCCGTGAAAAGCATGACGTCGCGGGTCGCCGCCCCTCCCTCCTTCGCTCCCCCCCCCTGGCCCAATAGGGACTTCAGATGGGCCATGCACGCCCTGATTCGGTGTTGGCGCACAGGCTGGCGCCAGCCTATCTCTTCGGACGAGGGGGGACTCCAATATCAGCCTGTGAGCCAAAACAGCGTGGATGAGAAGGAGGGGGAGGAGGAGGAGGACCCGCCACCAAGTAAAGTGGCTCGCGGCAGCTCCTGCGCCGAAGATGAACGGTACTTGTTACGATAAAATCATGGAGGGGAAAGAGAAAGAGAGAGAAGTAAGGGAAGGAGAGAGAATTGTATATATATATATAGAGAGAGAGAGAGAGAGAAAGAGAAAGAGATAGAGAGAGAAACGAACAGACAAATATCAAAGAGAGTGACACAAACAAATGGAGAGAGGGTGAGGAGGGACACACACATATGTTTAACGCCGGCGGCGAAGAGGGTCCTCAAACGCGGTCAGCTGATGAAAGTGCGGAGGCACAGTGTACAAGACGTCGCACACTGCAAGGCGACTGACCGTAATTCAAAACGTAGACACGCACCGGCCAAAATGTTGAGGAGGAGACTCAAGTCAAATTGAACTGTAGCGCAGGCAGACCGGTGCTAATGGGCGGCCACTGGATCACCGACACTGAGACAAACACACACACACACACAAGTACAACAACAACAACAACAACAACTACAACTACAACTACAACTACAACTACTTCTACTACTACTACTACTACTACTACTACTACTACTACTACTACAGCCACAACAACAATCAGTTTACCCTCGTGCGCGATGTCTCCACACGAAGCATGCGACTATCATGATAACCATCCACATCATGGGGGACTCTTGTTCTATAGCGGGGTCCGTTATTCCCATTCCCGGATCTCCCGCCCATTGCAAACACCTCCTCCGAGGAATTTCAACATATCCCGCCTCGAAAACACATGCCCGCGCCTTGCTGCGCCGATGCGAGACCGCCAGTGGAGGCCCAACGAAGGGCAAAACACATGGAAGTATCGAACGACAGGAGTGCCTTGGTGGGAATGGGGCCTGTCGGCGGTGAGGCAAGGACCTGGCCCTGAATAGAAAGGGGGGAAGTCTCGAGCAGGGCTGCTGTTGTTGCTGGGAGCGGCGCCAATGCTGAAGAGACTAGGGCGCCAGTCCAGCGTAAAACAAAGCGAAGTCTTGATCGGGAACGCTGGTTTTGTCGGGACGGCGGCTTTCGGCGGCGAGGAGGAACACCGCCTTGACTAAGAAAGGAGGAAGCATCGAGCGGGAGCCGCGGTCTTGTCGGGACGGGGGCTGTCGGCGGCGAGGAACAGCACCGACCCGAGGAAAAAGAGAGGAGATCTCGAGCGGGGACGTTGTTCTTGCTGGGAGCGGCGCCAATTCAAAAGAGAGTAGGGCGCCAGCCCAGCGTAAAACGGAAGGAAATCTCGTGCGAGAACGCCAATTTTGTCGGGGCGGCGGCTTCCAGCGGCGAGGAGGAACACCGCCTTGAATCAGAAAGGACGAAGCATCGACCGGGAGCCGTGGTTTTGTCGGGACGGGGGCTGTCGGCGGCGAGGAACAGCACCGTCTTCAGGAAAGAGGGGGGGAAGCCTCGAGCGGGGGCGTTGTTCTTGCTGGGAGCGGCGCCAATTCAAAAGAGGGTTGGGCGCCAGCCCAGCGTAAAGCGGAAGGACGTCTCGGGCGGGAGCGCTGGTTTTGTCGGGGCGGCGGTGCTCGGCGGCGAGGAGGAGCACCGCCTCGAATAAAAAAAAAAAAAAACAACAACAACAACAACAACAACAACAACAACAACAACAACAACAACAACAACAACAACAACAATCATTTTAAGACTGTTCGCCCTTATATGCTCGAGTGTCCAATGACGCGTATTTTCCCAAACCCTCGATACCCGCCGTCTTCGTCTTCGATCGAACCCCTTTTGGGGGGTATACCTTTCCTCCCTGCAGGCCGGGCCCCGGCAAGCGGCGGGGCGGCCGCGGACCGTCGGCCTGGCCAGCGGCAGCGCTGATTGGCGGGGCGGCCGCGGACCGCGGAAGATGGATTGACTTCAGATATTTACGACAACAGAGACATTATATCATACGTATCCGTGGAGGATGGGACGGTGGCGTGAGTGTTGATGGCTCTGCTCTAGGTTGCTATGTGGAGGTCTCTCTTGGGGACAACCACTGGCGACGAGTTTTCCAGGAGGCTTCTTTGCTCCCTCTGGGGGCCACTGTTACAGAAAGCGAGCTTTCAGCTTGTGAACGCCTGCTGCAAGGTGTTCGGCAGATTATCTCTGAGATTCTCGGGCCTCCAACCCCAAAGAGGTTGAGAGGGCGTGAGGGACTCTAGGGACTCTGCGCGGCTAGGGCGCTCGCGCCCTGTGTAGCCGACCCCAACACCCAACCATTCCCGCAGAGCTCTCTGAGAGCTATAGGGTTTCAGATTAGAAGCCGGATGCTGGTGGTGCCCGCCAGCAGCCCATCTTCGCCGGTCCAGAACCCCCCCTGTGTAAGTACCTCGTAGAGCTCTTCGGCATCGATGAGCTAGAGGAATTCCGGCGCTGGGCGGAGCTAGTTGGTCGACCCGACCAGAAAAGAAGATGTGACGACTTTGGGTCGGTTTTGCCAAGATTTACAAGATATTTAACAATTGATTTTCAGAAACCAGAATCTCACTCCTAGCATTAGTGTCTAGACTTTATTCTGAGAGCAGCTCAGCTCTCTAGAGAGAGTTTTACTATCGAAACACTTGGAGGAATCAAGATCAGGTCGACACCGAAAAATGTCAATTGACGTTTTCCTAGAAATGCTCCGAAAAGCTCTCTGCTTCGATTCTGAGCACTCTTCCGTGTGTAAGGAGCTCTACAATCGACAGAAAGCTGAGTTCTCGGTAGAACCGACGAGGAGGGGGAGAGCTGTGTAGCTTACCCGAATCTCTCTCTCTCTCTCTCTCTCTCTGTGTAAGTATCAGCTATGTAGCTCTTCGAAATCTCGAGTTAAGTACCGAAAACCGTCAACACGTGTCAGGATGACTCGGAACACAGTCGGTTCCACCAAGTGTTTTGATAGTAATACTGAAGCTACGGATCTGGGATTTTCACTGGCAAACGCGATACACTCACTACACGTGAGAAAAATACCAGTTCTTAAAACGAACTTCCAAATGTAGCACAAAGATTGAAAAACCGATCCCGAGGGCCAGATTGTCTCTTAAGGTCGGGTCTGCCAACTAGCTCTACCCTGCTCCCGAATTCCCCTTAGCTGATCTTGGCAAAAAGCTCTACGAGGTGTGTCCAAAGAAGTCGCAGGGACGGATATGTTTTCGCTCTGAGCGCTCAGATATATTGCCGCTGCTAATTCCCTTCCCATTGTTTTGCTGAACAGATCCAGCCAAGCGGCGCCTCATGACTGGGCGCCGGCGGTAAACCGTCAACCTTTCTTACCGCCGGGGGACTCGTAGAGCTTCCTGACAAGTATAATGTCGGAAAAAATTGCAGAGAACGTATAGTTTTTCAGCCCAGGCGATTTCAGACCTCTCGATGCAACAGCCGAACGCCCCCGATGCTTCTGGATTGTCTTCTGTACGAGCTCTGTAGCTCTCCTACAGCCCGAGTTACGTGCGCAAATCAACAGCACCTCTCAAGATGACTCGAACAATACGAACAGTTTGGCAAACCTAGCTCGAGTATCAGACCGAGTTCAGACCTCTGAATGCGACAGGCGGACGCGTCTGATGTCTCCGAATCGATTCCTGTGATCTAGCACTGTAGCCCCCCTACAGCCCGAGTTGAGTACAGAAAACCGACAGCACCTCAAGATGACTCGAACAATACGAATTGTTTTGCGATTCTCGATCGGGCAGCAGACCGAGTTCAGAGCTCTCGATTCAACAGACGAACGCGACTGATGATTCTGAATCGGTTTCTGTAAGTATCAGCTCTGTAGCTGTCAAAGAGCTCGAGTTAAGTACAGAAAACCGAGAGCGCCTGTCAAGATGACTCGAATAATACGGATAGGTTTGCGGACCTAGCTCGGCTAGCAGTTCAGAACGCGCCTGATCATTCTGAATCGATAAGAAGTGCTGACCAGCTCTGTAGCTGTCCTGTATCTCGAGTTAAGTCCATCTACCGAGAGTGCGTATCAAGATGACTCGAAACGGCCGATCCCGCCTGGACGCTTTTTGGCAGTAAAAGGTACCCGATCAAGCTGAGATCAAGATGGCGAGCGGGAATAAGATCTAATATCACGGGAAAAATACTAGAGCTCAAACGAATTGAGGAATTTCGAGAACAAAATGTTCAACCGAGCAAAAGTCAGCAAAAGGTCCGTCGAGATTTTTCTTGCCAACTAGCTCTCCAGCGCGCCGGAATTACTTTTAAGCTTCCAGCAACTAGCTAAGGGAAGCTCTACGAGTTATTCCCATATGATTTATGTGCCAAGAGCTCTCAAGTTAGGTAAAGAAATCCACCGTCATTTCGAAGAAAAATCAATCGTTTTGGGATCTAGCTCGAGGCGTTCGTCTATCCATCAAGAGCTCTGGACTGGGTCTGATACTCGAGCTAAGTCGGCAAAACTAATTTCTGTACTCAACTGAAGATCTAGAGCGGCTACCGAAATGGTACGTACATACACTGATTCACTATGACCAGGCGTGTTTGTCTGTTGCATCGAGAGTCTGGACTCAGCCCGCTTCTCGAGCTCGGAGACACTATTCGTATTTCTCAAGTTCTCTTTATAGGCGTTGTTGGTATTATGTACTTACTCGATCTGTAAGTGAGCTAGCGAGCTGATACGTACAGAAACCGACTCGGAATTATCAGAGGCGTTGGGCCCCCCAGAAGCGCTTCTGAAGCGATGCCAGGATCGCTTCCACGCGTGCCTGCTCGCGTGAAGGCTCGCGTGAACGCGCGCTGGAAGCGCCCCCGAACCCGCTGCCGGCCCGGGCGAGGCGCTGCGGGGATCATGGACCGGCGGAGATGGGCTGCTGGCGGGCACCACCACCGTCGGGCTTCTGATCTAAAACCCTCTAGCTCTCAGAGAGCTCTCCGGGAATCTAGAGCTCTGAATAGAGTCTGCTACTCGAGCTAGGTATGCAAAAGTATTCGTATGCGACTGATTTTTTCCG